TATATCTGTGTTGGGGTTGTCAACTCAAACATGGGACCTGGCAAAGATTGAATCATTGCCATTTATTGATCTACTCCGGTATCACCAATTTGAATATACATGTATCGTCAAAATAAATCATAGTTTACAACATTTTTAACACACATTTTTGGTTTATGTTCAAGCAAATACGGTATCTGCATATTTTTGATAACCTTTGAAAAGCTGATACAAAATAAACACATTCTATTGTTTGATGCAAATATGTATACATACATCAAACCTTCCCATGATGCAATGCACACAACAGCAAAATATATTCTGGTGGATCAGGTTAGTACAACATTTTGAGCGAATTTGTAACTATATGTAACTATATGCCCCATAAGGTAATTTCTCACTGGAAACAGTCTTCAACAAGAAATATAACAAAGTTTTTGATAAGATCAACAGTATCATGAACAGCATTGTTATGTCAACATTCGCACTTAACTACCACACACCAGAGCAATATCCATAATATTGACTCATAAAACCCAGACTAAAGGTTAACTATGCAATGGCTAATTCACATATTTAGCAACTGACACTTTTTTTTAAACAACCTTGTATTAGCACCATACACACAGTGAAGAAAACTAACCCATTTATGACAGCTTCATTTTAATTAAGATGGATCAATTTCTCTCGAACAAATTCCCATCTACACTTCCCTAAACGGTATCAACATGACATACCGAAAAATAATAATAGTTTTTCATGAAGAAGTTGTCCATGGGAAGTTGGGCTCAGTATCATTCCAGATGTCAATATTAAACTTGCTGCAGAAATATGTTTAATGATTTCATTATCAGAAGCATCAAGCAAATATTAATTTCACAGTGAGATAAACCAAAAACTTCATTACTATTTTAGGATGAATGCAACAAATATTTCATTCAATATACATGCAATAGTGCATCTATAACTTCACTATAATTCACACTGAATGCAGAGAAACAAACTGCATGTTTTTAATCTGATGATAGATTACCGTATACGGTAATTTTTGCTGTCACAGGGATAATGATGTTTAATCTCTCATAAGTAAAGATGCTAAGCCTGTGGGCTGTATATACGGACAACCTTTAGTTTCCAGCTTTCATTCTGTAAACCATTTAGTCACAGACCTTTACCTAATTTTCATGCTTGAAATACTGGAAATACACATGAATGCCTCGATTCATCATACTTTCATACTTGAAAGTAAGCAATGTGCATCTTATAACCAATGCAGGGAAACAATACAAAGAATAAAATGTGGAAAATCAAAAAGATAATACATCTAAGAAGCCTGCAATATTGAGAATGGATCAATGCATTGCTTGTAATGCGATAATGCTGTAATTTTAAATAATAATTTTAATATTCTACTATACCGTATATTTCAACAACATGTTATAATTTACAACATTGTCATCTCTATTTTAATAGCACAATTTCCCAAGGGTGTCTTTTTATAGTCCCATTTACCATTTTCTAAACTATTGTTCGCTCCTATTCACTAAACTTGCGTTTTATTGACCTCACAAAACCTGGAGCTGCTCTACATTTCATTTTTTCTTTCCCTGCGTTCCAACTTATTGTGATTATAGAATAAATTAAGAAGACTGTTCCATTTTTTTTGATCGAGGAGATGACTTCAATTAAACAAGAGAGCTGTGTAGTGTAAAGGTTGTGATCACACTCTACTGGGGCCAATAATTACCCACTCTGTCCAATATGAAAACTGACAATCCTATAAATCTAGTCAAGCCTTACATTGACGTCATCCAAGTTTATAGGCTCAACCATTATAACCATGGGGTAGAAATCGTGAACATCAAGTAACCTAATTTAATATTTTAACCACGATTGTTGACTGTGGACACGATATAAATTTGTCAAAACATGTAATTTGTTTTTAATATTGGTCACAATTTGAAAGTCGCCTTTATGTTCTCATTTTCTAAGAAACTAACAAGAAATTTGCCTCCTGAATGGGTTTGTCCACTAATTCCATCCTCACACTGGATTATATAATTTGTTGAACATTTCTTATGATGCAACACTGCTCTTTTTAATAAGTTAACACTTGGGAGATCTTTCCCTGCAGTAGAATGGTTTATTCCTGAATGATGTCACAAAATCTTACACAGTAAACACAGTTCAAATGTCACTCATTCATTATATAGGTGCAATATATGGCAGCACTCGTGTATTTGCGGGGAAATTCATTCTTTTTCCACAGATACACAATCAGATGTTGCTTTCATCTTCTCAGGCTGTCAGGTTTTTATGAACAACAAACATTTTTAGTCTCACTATAAATGGTATTGATTTTATGCAGGACATATATCCCCTTGACCTACTTCTGAGGTCACCAGTTGCCATAGTAACCCAATGACATAGTGTATAAGTAATCAGGGACTAAGTAAACAATCAATGTGGATTGTGCTTAGTTTTTTTTACATACAGAGGATTTTATACACAAAATTATGTAATCATGTCATGGCCATGTGCCTGATAGTACAAACTATTTGATGAACAAGGGTATTTTGAAGTTTCTAGAAAGGAAAGGTAAAATACTTATCCTTATTCAATAATCAATCAATTTTTTTTCGTTGTTCAAAATGAATCTTTAATAAAAAATCAATAACCATATCACAACCTAAAATATCCCATTACAATGCAGTGTATTTCCAATTTGAGTTTATGTAATTTATTTATGTATGTATGTATTCATTATCTAGCTTCTTCGTTCTTTGCATCAAAATCTATAATTTAGAAAAACTCAATAATTCACAGTTTCATTTACTTTTAGAAACATGTTCTGCCAATCAGAATAAGAATAAATAAATAAATTTAGAATTCATCCTTTTTTTCTTGAATATTTTATGTTATAATATAACTTATATAAAATCTAATATGTATTCTGCTAGAGATGATCTCAACAGAAACAATGACTTTTAACTAGCTAAGAAACTAACTACAAATGTATACAGGAACTACAGTTTGAGTATAACTTAACATTTTTACTTAGCTTTAAGGTGGCTTAAAGCTATCTTACAAAACTGCGCAAAGTAATCTGCCTAAATATATCTCATATTAGTAACTATGGTAAATACTATGAAGAGTATATTGAAATTATTGTTGATGATAGTACTCACTTAAAATTTTTTTTTTTTTTTGAGTTTTTAGAAATAAGCACAGCTTGTAAGTTAAGTTATGCTCAGATTGTACTGTAAGAGGACATTGCATGATGGGATTTCTTTACTAACGACTAAGAATTCATATTGCACACAATATCATTACCATGTTTACATGTAAACAATTGTTATATCACATTCAGAATATTTAAATCCATAAGGGATAGCACTTCTGATCAGATTTCATTTTTAGAATATAGAGGTAGATAGTTGAATACATACACTAATACAATAATGTCACCACTAAAATACACAGACCTGTAGGTTCAAATATTCATAGCTACACGTACAAGTATAATAATTTAAGTAATAGTATTTGTATATTATTTACAAGAATGCAATATTACTAATTAACTAGTATGTTGATATTTTAATAAAATGTTAAAAGGTGGAGGTTGGTCTTGTGAAAAAGTGGCCAGGGCTGCAATAGCTAGATGCACCTAGCTTTAGATTTGTACAATAAGAAATTCTGGCCTTACAGAAAATAGTGATCAAAGCGTTGGACAACCATTAAACAACTGGTGCTTCTTCCAGGGAGAAGCAAATTAACTTACAATACAGTCAATCAGTGTGTATAAGTGTGTCAGGTACATGTCCAGGAGTTGGTACATGTACTGGTACTTGTACTTAAGTCAAGACCATCAGTAATTAGGCGACAAACATGTGCAAAAATATTTCAAAAATTGCTTTCTACAAACTATAAATAAATATCTAGAAACCAGAAGTATATCCAGATTGTATGACTCAAGTCAGTGTATTTAATCACATATCATGCCACATAGATTTAAATCTTTTCAGCAGAGTGCCCCAACCAGACCAATATTCACCAAATACAGCGAGTAGAGTCAATATTTGAATAATTAATGCAACTTGACAGAATGTGACAATAAAGCTGTGCATAACATCTGTACATAGTACATGTAAAAACCAAGCCACTTGATAGAAATGGATTAAGTGCTACCACAAAGAAAACCAAAAAATAACAGTTTCATGCCTGTAAACATCAAAACTAGAAAAAAATATTTTACAAATTAGCAACTTTTCTGTAAGAACAAAACGTGGAATCACAATCGATGTCTATAAAGAGTAGGTCTATTCAAGATTACCCTGTCAATTTAAATTTATTTGACTAGAGTTTGATTGATAGAAAGATTAAAAGTTACTGGATGATCAAGAACGAAATCAAGCCAGTATAGTCCATAGCACCTTTAGTACACTATAGTTTCATTCATTTATAAGACTGACTTGCAAGAGTGTTCCTGGAGTGGTTATATATTATACATACAATCTGTTTTTGAAAGAATCCATTCAGGGACAGATGACAGACACTGAACACTGTTATCTGATAACAATGAACCAAGTGAACATTTTCACATCTTGCCTACCGTTATATGCAAATTTATATTCTACATAACCAACCAATCAACATATAGAAGATTGGAGAATAGAAAATATGTTAATATTAACCTTTGATATTTAGCATGCATCAATTAAATTCTATCCTGAAACAAATTAAGTCATTTTAAACTCAACTCATTAAAGTTAATTATTATAATTTTGATTTATTTCTAGACTCAGTAATGCAACATGTTTAGTACTAGTTCATAAAATTATTTTCATAGCAATTCCAACCATCAAAGTGCTTACTTTCTATGATCCTGTGCAGTTTGTACTATAGAGATATCTTTTATAAATAAAACCCCATGTAAACAGGATTTCTGAAGTCTTTGCGGCCAACTTGCTTAAATTTTTTAACAGTCATAGTAAATAATCCATAGTATGATGTTGTTGACTTTGAATAACAAATAAAGAACATGTGCATGACTATAAACTTATGTTGGATATTTACCCCCTCTCCCAGACTAATCTGTCTTTTAGTGTACTCTGAGAATAAAAATTACAATATGACGAAGTTCTGGGAATTCTTGGTTATATTTATCATGTTGTACAGCATTATAATACAATAAATGTTTAAACATGCAAGTTCAATTCGGTGATTTAGAATATCCCTTGGTGTATTTGTATTGAGAGATAAAAAAACTAACCTGTTGTTGTTGATGAAGTTGTTGCGCCATATCAGAGTGGTTACTCTCATGGTGAGGAGGGGATGCCACAGTACCATTGGTTCCTGTGTTGTGAATGGCGTTACTTGGAACAGCAGTGGCTTGACTGGAGATAGCTGCTGTTGTTGAGTCACTCATAAGGACGACAGGGGTTTGGAAGAAGAGCTGAAAAAATAACCTGAAAAGCAGAAAAAATAATTTGAATGATGAAACAAAAAAAGAACATAAATAACTAGGAATGAAAGAGATGACATTTGGGATCACCAGGTGTGAATGAAATAATTCTGACTGAGTCATCTGAAAAATAAAGTACTAGTATATTTATTTATATAGAAATAAGATGCCGTTTATCAACAATTCACTATATTTTCACAAGCATCATTCAGGTATATTTGGGACAAATAATTTCAACAAATTTTTTAGCAGTAGATTGTCTACTACATGTATCTGTACCAACATTTTTTATTAAGAAGAACTGTAGATGAAAAATATAAAATTATACCATTATTGATATCTCAAAGTAACAATAATTTAGAGTTAATAAACCCTACATATATATATGAACAATGACAAGATATGGATGAAAACATGTAATTTTAATATTTGTCACTGTTTGATGATAGTTGATGTAGGTGAAACACATTGACTCACGGTACGATTCATAATGAACTTAAAATGATATTTTTTGCAGCAGTGTGAATGGCGATTGTGATGAGAACATTCATATTGTAACTTCAAGTTCAAGTACAGAGTATAAACTAACATAGTGAACTATGCTGCTTACATTGTATATGAACTAAAGTCACACAGTCTGCACATGTACATTATGATTACTTTTAGTAACCGTCTGTAAATTTAACAACAATTTAACAACTTGCTTGCTTGTTCAAACAGGGAACACATGTTTTTTATTAAATATTCCCATCAATACTTGTAGGGTACAAGTGCATGTCCATGATCCTAAACATTTATACAATGAAACTAAATAAAAGTTAAAAGTAGCTGCAACCAATTATGTCATTACTTTCGGGGTGATTTTCAAAGAACGATGATAACCTTTGCAAGGAGTTCTGGGCAATGAATACCAAATGCATATTATAAAAGCATGTGCATTACAGCATGATAGCTCTATTGTGTACTACTTTCCAATGGTTTCACCACACCACCATGAAGTAGAAAGTAGAAAAAGTAGCATCAATCTTGAATGCAACAAAAAGCAGAGCACATAATTTTAAAATTACTGTACTGTCATTATTATGCATGTGAGTGTGTCGATTTATCGCACCCAACACAAATATGTACACGATGAATCAGTTTTAGAGGTCTTTTAAAATTCTAGTGCACATTTGGGAAGCAAAATATGAATAAAACAAAAACATTTCTTGAGGGTACATCATATTTGAAGATAAGGTACTAGACCCATAATCCACGGTCACCACTTGCTGTGATATATATTGCATTGGACTGAACTGTTGACTGCAACATGATGCACATGCTATGGTCATATTTTTTTTAGCTCTACGCTATGATACATTAACTTTTAATGGACATAATACAAAGCTACTGTTAACAAATAACAGCCTTGTTTTAAGATTTTCAGATATTCACCATAAAAAAGCAATTGAATTTCTCGATATAAAAGGAAATAATTTTTAAATGAAATTAATAATTCCAAGGTGGATGTGGTTACTCCCCTCAGTGCCACACAAGCAGGCAGAATAAACACCACAAAGTACATATTTACCCTTTGTTTTATTTACAATCCCCCACCCGACTAATATCAATAATATTCATAACTAAGTTTTTTAAAGTCTGCACACTTATCGACATCAGCAACAAGAATATTTCAATTTTCAATGGATATTTGCATCAACTGAACAGTTCTATTAATCAAACAATTTGCAACTTAAAATTTATCATTGCCAGGCTAGTTGGTTTGATGAAAGGTTGCCTTGACAACAGTCAAGAGTTGTTTTCCTGCATTTTGTTCCCTCTTTATAATTAAAAGGGCTACTTGTACAGCAAAAAAAAAAAGGGTTTGTATTTATGAATAATTAAATAAAACATTAATGAATGCAGTAAATAATAATATATCAGCCAATAATTCTTATTAGAATTTCGTCTAATTTATGTATTTTTGAGGGTGAAAATTTGAATTTGGCAGGAAAACATTATTAACTGTTTTTATATATATATGCCATAGTATGAGACACATAATATACAACAAGATTTGACATATTTAATATTCATAAGAGTTAAATATTTGCTTTATTTAGTTATTGGTACAGGATGCAGATTCCACACACTTAAAATGGGCAACTGTACGTGCTTCTTTCCCAAGTCACGTCTCACTATTTTACAAGTATTTAATAATACCCCATGTCCAATAGCAAACATCAGCCCTATATTCCAGAACTTTGTAAACAAAATACATGTTTATCAGCAGTCAAGACAAAGGCCTAACCCAAACACAGACTGGAAGGTTGCTGCTTTCAGATTCAAAGACTGCCTTTCATATTTTGCATACCAGCTTGCACCAAATGTAAATAAGTAAATTCATATGAATAAACACAGGCCCTAGATCAATAAATATAATGAAGCCATTTTAGCATACAAACACAGCTACACAGTAATATGTTCACAAGTGTAAACAACATGAAGCTTTGGGGCCCAAGCAGTCAGGGTAAACCAACTAAGTGAGGTTTCTGCAGCTAATAAAAGATGGTGGGAGAAAGTCGAATATAAATTGTGACGTTTTCAAACAAAAAAGAATTATATTGTTTTTTTGTTCATAGTTATGGATATCATACATGTTGTTTTTTTGGTTGTTTGCATAGTTAAAAAAAAAATTAAAACCACTGGAAGTATTTTTATTTCAAGAAGATGTGAAACACTTTAATTAAGCACAGATCACAAAAACTGGTTGAAAAAAAATAAATAGAGAATTTCTTCAGGAAAAAAATTACTACAAGAAATAGGCAGTTGGGAGAGAAACGCTCCCACAATGCTCAATAGCTCTCAAATTAGCTATTTTCCATTGTCTATTCAAACTGGCCTTCTCTGCCTACTGAATACAATGAGAAATTATTCATGAAATGCAGTCATAAATTTCTAATTGCTTTTTTCTCACTATGAGTAGGTTTTCGTGTGCACACAAAAGATGACAAATGTCTAGATACGCAAGCTAAAAATGACATTTACTTTGAAACACTCAACACAATTTTTTTTTCTCAAATGTGTAACTTTTGAAGACAAAGAAATCTAAAAAAAGTTCACAATAATTTTGTTTATAAATTTTACAGTCAAATAGATGCTAAAAATTTATGAATTTTATGTTCTTGCATTTATTATATTACTTCTCCATGAAAATTTACCATCTGTCAAACAAAACTGACTTCTGACGAAAGGGAAAAAGCATCTTGCACGAAATAAATGCTTATATACTGAAACTAATATTTCATAGATTTTTTGACAGATGCCCAAAAAAGTAATGGAAATAATTGATGTATTTTGGTCAGTTTCACAGACTAATGGCCCTGTATCTGGTACAAGTACTTTTATTTGTCAATATTTGAATATAAAGAGAGCCATGAGTGATTATTGTATCACAAATTGGAAAATCTATTTAAATAGTCAAAGGTGTTTTGAATGAGAGATGTCAAAAAAAAGGTTGGCCAATTTTATCTGTTTCAATCACCGTATCTCACTCATTTAAATGCGTGTTGAAAACTAATTGACCCTTTCACTGATTTGAAACAATAGTGATGTAATTAATCAAAAGATCAATTCACATTAAAGACCAGACTCTTCATACAAATGTGACAGTCTGATAAACATCTCAATTTGTGAACTTTTTGTCACTTGGGATTTCTTTTGATAAAGCATGTATTGACACATTGTGAGGTTTCATCTTTTTTATTGCTGCATCTCAGTAGAAATTAAAAGACTTTTAATGAAGAATCAAAGATGCATACAGATTGTTATCTCACCATGAGACTACTATTTTTTGGAGAGTGGGTTCATGATCTCACTAATATTAACTACAAAAGGGGCAATTTCACAAGTTGAAATATTTTTCATTTAAACAGATAAAACTACATTGTAACAACACCATAATAAAGAATACATGCATATTTTACGATTAAAAGATTTTGCTTCTCTTTAATCATAAAGCAAATATAGAATGATAAATGTTTTATTTTGAATATAAGAACCAAACCGGTACAGTGCTGCAAAATAAAGACAGAATGAATGAATGGAAAAGAGGCCCAATATTGCGCATTTTGAACTACTATTAGTATTCGAGAGTGATTATTTTCACACCCAGGGAGGTTTTATGAAGCTTCGAATGGATACTTCCAGTAGTGAGTCAGACAAAACAATAACAGGAGACTGATTAATGGAAAAATGGCCGCTCATTGTGAACATCTGGAATTTACATAGGACTGCTATGTAAACAAGCACATCAAAATGGTAAACAAGGGGGCCATTCAGAGACAGCATTCCAACTTTCCTTGCCTAAAGTTTCAATTAAATTCACGAGAATTAGAATCTCAAGGAAAAAAAAAATGCCTAAACCGCAGAAGTGGAAAAGTAGTTCACTGGTAACAGCTAAACTGTGCTGGTTCTTGTGTAGCCCAGTGGTAAATTCATCGCCGAAGTGCCTTCACGTTTTTAATGGTCGCCTGCCCAAATAAACAATAACATGCCAAAAAAATCTCAACATTCCGTATATTCCAGAGCAAAAGTTAAGCCCTCGATAATTGGGTTAGCTAGAATGCCAAAGCATAAATAGTACCACACGATTTGCGTCCCAGAAACTGATTCCAAAGTGTCCTTTCCCGTGCAGTTCCTAACTTCATTACATATGCAGCATTGTTTATAGAAAATGACAGCCCTTTGATCGGTCAAAAATAACAACAGCACTTTTTTCTTTGTCTCGTAAACGACGCAAAAACTTCTCGGAATGACGCTGTAAGATGTATGTTCAAACCCACTCTTTATTTCGAAGTGGGTGTGCTGATTTCTTGAAGCTTTTCGGATGTTAAAAAGCAACAAATCTGCTGTATTCACCGTTCGTCTGACATGTCATTACCTATGCAAATTATTTATCCACGAAGAAATCTATTGCATGCCACAAATAACAACAAAAATACATAATAAAAAACGCCAAATATTCGTGATCGGCGGGACTATAAAAGGTAAAAAGCCACTCAAGATTTTAAGAATTATATTTACCTTATATACTGGTGATGCTGAGGTTTTCGAAGCAGACGAGAACGAGAAAAATTCTGTTGATTTTCTCTGCCCAGCAGCGCACATGCATGAGCCTTGTATACAGCAAATCATCGGCTCACTTCAATAAATAATAACTATGTTCATCCGCGATTGTTTACTTTATCGGTGGTATTGCATTTTCTCGCTTCAATTTCGCAAACTTCTTTTCTATGACTCAAAATAAAATTCTTATACTATATTTGACCTGTTATATTTCCATATAAGATTATAAAGTTTGGATTTAATCGAGAATCTTCGTCGAACTATTTGTTTTTTGCGCATATCACTTTGTTATTTCAAGATGTTGTTCGGTTATACCGTGACGTCAGATTACACCTGCTGAGTAAACAAGGGATGAAACAAAAGAAACGACGGGGTTGGGTTTGAATTTCGGTTCATTTTATACTTAAGACTTATGAAAATTCAACACTCAACAACTGATCTTCGTTTCCTCAGGACTGCTTACCGAGGTTTCCGAAAATTTGTTGTGTAAATAAGGAAGTGATAAATATGATTGACGAATCACAGAGCTCGTTACATCTCGACTTTGGTAATGGATAACATTAAAGAAATCAAGTGTTGCATTGTTAACTGACTGTTTCGACAGAGGATAATCACAGTTTTTGCTACTAAACAGCCATCCTACAAAATAAATTTGAATTCATTCATACTAATTTATTTAATTAATGTAATTTATTGGGTCAAAAAAAGAATTGTAAGAATACTGTAACGAACTATTTTTCTAAAATTGGTTCAATAAGTTTTGAAATCAGCTGGTCACGCCACTTCTCAAATACAACAGCTCGACTGTTCCCGCTCCTTCTCAGACAATCTTCATGTTTTGAGTCATTTTCAGCGTTGACATCCATCAGTGTTGGGAAATACTACTTATATGCATGGTTAGTGTCTTTTAGAACAATTTCAGTCACAGGAACAAGGCGGACGTTATTTCCGATGAAAGAAATTCTAATGTCACTCGCGTCGTGTCACGATTGACCCGGTGAAGTTATACGATTGCAACACATTAAAGTACACGAACACTACAAGTTGCATCCGCTGTAGTATTTTCTACAAAATTGTATCTTCATTGCGACAAAATCAGTAATTATCGTTCCACGGTAACGAGAGTCGTCTGTGTTTGTCCCAAACCGTATAAGTAACACTGGCCACTTCTATCTGCTTTTCCAGAAATGCAAGAGTCGAACAGTCGGTGCAGTTGCTGCTCGGAGTGTTCTGACAAGGAGTGCCAAGAAAATGCGGCCGGCGTAGTGAAACAAGTACACGCCAGATTAAGAAGAAAATTCAAAGAGGGTAGGTGGTAATAATGTTGGTCCGTGAAAGAATATGTTACGTTGCACACTCCGTGAATCCACGTCCTTTTAAACTGTGTATGTCCACCATGACACTGCCTATAGCTGACCGTTACCACGTTCATTCTAAGTGGCAGTGTATAAATTCTAGACTTAATGTTTCACTGTTTTGACACATCATGTGATGGGGGCAGCTACGATTGTGTAATAAAATAGACAGTAATGTAATACAGGTCTTTGTATGGGAAACATCAGAAACTCTTCTTAGGTGGTTTGGTGTCCCAAATCCTCTCCAATCCTCTGAAACCTAGAATTGCAACCAAGTTTTATGAGAAGATGTCAAGATTGACCAGGTCGTGGGCTAAACAAATGATTTGTCTCATGGTTGAGCTGATCAGATATTTAAGATATGTGATTGATATCATGGTGTGTTTTTGACTTTTATTTTAAATGAAATCTAAATACACTAGTCTTATTATTGTCTTAAGAACAAGGCCATTGGTTATCCAAAACACTTATTCGTGTGACATCATTTTACTTAGCTATGGGACCATAGCTCTTGTTGCATCAATCTTTAGTTTTTGTGATGGTATTTTAGTATTTCTGATATATTAAATACTGTAGAATACTTTATTTTCGCTTGGAATTTATTTTCGCTATTTTCGCTGAAGGGATGATTCCGTGAAAATAAAATCCAGCGAATATACTTTTTTTCCTATATTTTACATTAAACTCATCAAAAATCAGTGAAAATAAATTCCATACAAAATGCCCAAAAAGCCTTTTCAGCGAAAATTAATTCCAGCGAAAATAAAGTATTTCACAGTACTAGTATTAGTATTTTATCAACACAGAAAAGCTATGGTTTCTTCCATAGATTTGCGTAACACAATCGTGCGACACCAATTTGTATCACAAATAAAAGTGAACAAAAACTATCACCAATCAATATTATGTTTAGTAAAACTCTCATCAAAGTGATAACTGTGACAAAAACGATTTGATGTTTTTCTGGGATTTAGTGTTCTGCACCATCTGTAACTCTGGTGGTAGCATTTTCTTCAGGTCGAACGAGGTCAGTATATCACTGGAATAGGTATTCCTGATGAATACTTCTGTAAAACGAACGCAATGTCTGCTTCAGATGTGTGTGTAATACTGCCCACAGACTTTCAAGAGAAATTTACAAATAAATGTTTTTTCATGCATGTAGGATATAGGGGAAATAAACAACACATAGAGGTCATAGCAAACGCAGTAGCAGACAACAATGTTGTTGATCTCGGGCTACATTTGACTGCAAAATTTTCAACAGCAATCACCCCAGCTTTTGTCCACAATATTAGTAAAACTACCGGGGGTAATGTAGGAATATGGCTTTTGTCCACAATATTAGTAAAACTACCGGGGGTAATGTAGGAATATGGCTTTTGTCCACAATATTAGTAAAACTACCGGGGGTAATGTAGGAATATTGAATTGTTCAGCAGTACCATTTATATTGCTGTGATATAAAAATTTAAGATTGGATAACAATTCATCTCATGGTGCGATGACAATATCTCATAATAATGACTACAAATTTATTTTGAAAACAAAATTATTGTTATGAAGGGTAATATTTCAAAATTCTTTGGGGCCATAACAGTAAATGAACACTCCCTGACGCACCTCTTAGTAGGGAGATTCTGAATACACCTGATTGTTTTTATGTTTATTTTGTTTTATTTTACCAAATTACAAATTCCAATGTTAAACTATGAATTTTTGTAACATGAGCAACAAAAGTAGCACACTTAGGCTAAGATTTTATTGATAAAGTATACAGTGTTCTAAAGTTGGAGGCAGTGACTGGAAAACAGAGCCTCTCATTTTAATGGAATTATTTTAACACTTTACCAAAATCAACTTTTGCCACCTTTCACAAAATAAACTTGCATCAGTTTTTCCATATTTTTTACCCCAAAAAACATGATCAAGACCTATAATCATATAATTATGATCATTAGGTTGAAAATTAGCAAAGAAATTATAGAAAAATTTACCAAATGTTGCACAAGTATTTTTGTGGATAAAATATGACATTAAAAGGTTAAATACCTGATTCTCTGAACTGATTTAAAGCTATGTTTTCAGATACAAGTTAAATTTTAAATCTACCGTTACATTGTTGTGTTGACAAAATTTGTCTTTTGTAAATTAATGTATTATCAATGTAACTGAACCTATCTGTACTGTACTTCTACTTTTCTTAGCTGATGGTGACTTTGAGCGAATTTGGAGTGAACATTGTGAAGATGAAGACACCCTGGAAGAGTATGCCAATGCAATGCAGCATCTTGCTGAAGAACATTGGTCAAAAAATCCAGATGATAGAATCGCATGGTGTTATCAGTGTTGTATAGATTATTTCTTCAGTGGTGGACTGAAATGTGCTCTTGAAAAAGATGAGCGGACCAAGCAGTTTCTCACAAGCGGTGGTGCTAATAATTTTACTGAAACGCAATGTTCTTGTACAGCGGATGAATATGCTGCAGGTTCTGGAGATAACTTGTCATCACTGTCAGCTGCTACCGCTTTGTACAGTTACAACTCCTTGTAAGCATTTTATTTCTAAATGTGTTTTGCTTCACGTGTCCACCAGAATATTTATTCACCACATTCTTTGAATACCGGCTTCAGTTTTCCCCCTCTATGATGGTACTATATTTACCTGTTGACTTAATTAATTTGGGTTAATTAACCGACGGACATTTGATTTGCAAACTAAAATATAATATAAAAATTGTTTTTTTATTCATTCAAGTGCACTATTGTTCGAAAAAGTAGAACAATAATCAAACAGATGTCCAAGCATTTTAGAACGTTTAAGGTGAACTTGACCCCCAAAGATAGTAATTGTACATTGCGTTAAGTCTGTCAAATATGGTAACTACATTATACATTTCTATCTTATTTACACTTTCCTTCAGTAAGCTGCCATTTACAGGGAAGGTGAGACTAATTGATGTTGGTAGTTGTTACAACCCATTTCTCAAATATGAAGATTTCCTGTCTATCGGCATTGATATATCACCAGCTGTTGAGGTATGTTTGATGGAAGAGTCTATTTGATTCATCTTTTGACAATAATATTAATGACACACTGGAAATTAGTTTATAAAGGTGTTAAGGGACTGGTTTATTAGTCCCCGTTCGGACGTAGTCCGAAAACGGGGACTTATGGTTTGCCCTGTGTGCGTCCGTGCATGGACCTATTAAGTTCAAACTTCACTCATACATCACACATTATATGGGACATATGCACATGCAGTTTTTTCATGATCCGATTAACGATAGCCAAATAGCGGCCATTTTAAGGCCGAAAATGCATCAAAATCGTACATTTTCACCATTCCGGACCCGGATTTTGTTCAAATTTGGTACATACATTAAACATAATAGGACCTTGATGCACATTATTTTTTTTTTCGGATCAAGTTCGAAATGGCCGACTGGCGACCATTTTGTTTTAAAGAATTCAGTTCTGGATCCGTATCCGAGACGTGTCTGGATTGATCAAGTTCAAACTTCACACACACATGGTACATCATGTCACAAATAGATATGTGCATTTGCTTCATGATCCGCTTAACAATAGCTGAATGATGGCCATTTTAAGGCCGAAAATGCATCAAAATCACATATTTTCACAATTCCGGAACAGGATCTCAGTCATGCATGGATGGATTTTGTTCAGATTTAGTGCATATATATTAAACATAATATAAGCTTGATGCACACCAATTTTTCTTCCGATCAAGTTCAAAATGGCCGACTGGCGGCCATTTTGTTTTAAAGAATTTAGTTTTCGATCCATATCTCGGACATGCCTGGACAGATCAAGACAACACTTCACACACATCATACAATGTGTTGTACATATGCAGGTGCATTTCGGTCATGATCTGCTTTGAATGTATATGTCACTCAAATATGAACGGAACAGGGACGTGTCATTGACAATGACTTGTAGTACTGGTTTTTGTGCCGATGATCAGTGACAAAATGGCTATCATTTGATGTAGTCCAGATTTAATCAAACTCAATGATGCATGTTACCGAAGTCAAAACTGGTACCGGTACAGATTTTGTTTTGAAAGCTGTTATGGAGCCACATTTACTGACGTGCCTTAAACAGATCTTGTTCAAAATTTTACATCATTAGAACTCAAAGTCTGGGAGGGGGCTTGTAGTTTCGCCTTCGTCAGTTCGTCCAGAGTGATTTCTCGGAGATGGCTGGACAGATTTTTTTGAAACTTGGTACAAAGACATAGTGGTCAGCCATACATGTGCACGTTAATTTATTTTCCATTCGATCAAATATGGCTGACTGGCGGTCATTTTTAATGCCAAAATTCAGTCAAATTTTGTCCTTGTGTGTCAATCGTCATTTCTCAGAGATGGCTTGACCATTTTTTGCATGTGCATTTTGACTTAGGATATTTAATGAATTTTTGTTGATATCTTGTGAACTTATAGTCCAAATGAGATCGAAGTTGGTATAAACTTACTTGATCTGTCAATATACGATATGTGCTTTGCAATATTGAGTTTCAACTTAATTAACAAGCTCATTTGCATATTTAATTAATTTTGAATTTGTTCTTAATATCTTGTGAACTGATTGTCCGAATTAGACCGAACTTGGTATAGACTTACTTGATCTGTCAATATAAGATGTATGCTATGCAATATTGACTTTCAACTTAATTAATGAGCTAATTTGAATATTTAATTAATTTTGAATTTTTGTTAATATCTTGTGAACTAATAGTTCATGAATTTTGCTATTTAATATTGACTAAATTGAATTTTCATATTCAGCAACTTACCTGGCAATGTTGCTGCTTTGCTGTTCAGACCAATACGGGTGTGACAGTAAAGTTAAAAAAAATTCTTCAAAGCATTTCTGCCATTCTCAAATTCGATTAAATTAAACTTGACACGTGCATATATAAATCATGTTAAATTCTGATTCAGATTGGCTGACAGGTTTCAGTTTTGTGTACTATTGCACAAGGGGGACTGTTGACATTTACTTGTTGATTTTATAGATTTCATTCTTAGACAGTCATGGACTAATTTATTTAATCTGTCATGAAGCTCATATACAACAAATTACATATGCACATTTCACATAGTAAGTAGTGGTAGGTATTTTCCATAATGTAAAATTATATCTATCAATGACTTAATTTTTTAATGTTTTTTTTTTTTTTTTTATATTTTGCAGTCTGTTTACAAGTGTGATTTTCTTAATTTACAACTACATCCTCCGCTACAACTTGCTGAAGATACACTAGACACATACCTGAAGAATCTAAAAAACCCTGTTGATGAATTGCCGAGAGAATCCTTCCATGTTGTTGTATTTTCTTTGTTACTGTCATATTTTCCATCTCCATATCAGAGATGGATATGTTGTCAGAAAGCTCACAGTCTTTTGCAGATGAACGGATTACTTCTGATTATCACACCAGACTCATCGCATCAAAACAAACATGCTTCCATGATGAAGAGTTGGAAATGTGCTATTGAATCAATGGGTTTCAAGAGATGGAGGTATATCAAATACATGCACATGCATTTCATGGCTTTCCGTAAAGTCAGCAACCAGCAAAGTATTTTGATGAGCGAAGCCAATCCGGACATGATGTACATACCACAGGATTTTCATGACAATATTGAAGAATGCGTTTTCAATGACAGTTTTGATAATCAGTCGGACTCTGATGAACAATCTGTGAAGGATTTCTTCACAGAACTGCCGGATATTCAAGACCCTTGTGATATTCTTCTCTATACTTAGTGTATGTAAAATCCAAGGTACATTGTATGTGGCTGTTGTGGACATGAAAATATCATGTAATCACCATGATATTGGATATTGAAATAATGGATATTGCTTGAAGTGTGTATCTTTAACATTATGCTTGAAATAACCAAAATGTACAAAATTTTCCAGTATTGTAACCCCATAGTTTCATGTGTATATATATGATATATAACCATATCTATCTTTGTATGCGCCCAATATGAATATAACTAGAAAAGACGATGTTTCTCTTGAGTTTACATTGTCATATTATTATGGTGCACGTCATTTACAACAATTTTATTATTGTTAGAACTAATTAAACTTAATACTGACTATACTAGGCATTAAAGTCAACACTAGCAATAGAACAAATCTAAAATATATAATTCAAGCTAACAGCTGAAAAAAAATAGTATTTCATTAGTTATGCGGTATATCATTATGTTTAATTGAATCAATTGAGATTCAATTCAATTGTTAATTTTTGTTGCTTTTTTAAAAGTTTCTGACAATCATTTTCGTTGTCTCGATTGTGTTGTATGTTCATACGTAAGCTTTGTGATTTTGCTAATACAGTTGTTTTTCACTGAATTGTGGTGCTTCATACTTATTTACCAAATGTAATTTTTTAATCAGTCTTTCTTCAAAAACATGTTTATATGCTGCAATATAAAACTTTCATCGTACTTGTAAACTTCAGTTAAAGTTGCATTCTGAGAAGGGGTACTTTTACGTTCACCACTGCCCCAGGGCTGCTATAAGTGTTTTGAAAGTATACAACGTTCAGCACAAATACTTGACAAGTGGTGATATTCTCTCTCTTGGTGTATTTTGCCAAATCATTTAAATTGTGGCTTTAAATAAATTATTTAACAGTTTTATCCAGTCTAACTGAATGAGAACACATTAAATTTGCAGATTTTTATTCTCTCATAAAAAAATATGAAATATTTATTGTGCAGAAAATTACCACCTGTATATTCTACTGGACACCCTAGGCTGGTGAAAATTAACTTGCATGCAATTATTG